CTTGTCTATATGTGATGAATCAAGATCTATATATGAAAACCCTGAGAAAGTTTTTAAAAACTTACATGTTTCCCTACAACTCCAACTTGCATCATTGTTCCTATCAAAAGCGGGGGTCTCTGTTTATTAATATTTATTTATTTGTTATTAACAAACCTGTTGCCCATGTGAAGGATTTGTCATTAATTATTATTTGCGATCGGTTTCTTGTTTGATTATTTATTTATTTATTTACTCGGATGGAGCGAAGAAGTTCCATCATTTCTGCCATAAGGGATGCTCCTATGTCTGTTGTGGTGTCAATGGGTAGGAATGCAAGATGCTCCCATGTTCATGTCTATTTGATTTTGCTTCATGGTTTTCAGTGCTTGTTGCACTATTAATTGACTTGCTCCATTTGTATTTCACAAATGTTGGTTTTATGTTCTAAGTTCTGGATGATGATTTGGTGTGACGTGAACACTTCCCTCTCAATTCCTTTATTGAGCAGGAATTGTGAATGTCATATGGGTCAATTTGCATGTGTCAGAGTTCAAAATGTAAATTAGGGTATAAGTGAAAGTTAAAACTAAAATTTCTATCTAAGTGAAATTTGACTTAACTTGAGGATGTGTCGGTGTAATTAACCTTATGTTTTAAGGAGAATCAATGTTTATCACTTAAAACATATCTAACGGGATAAAGGCGATTCTATTAGTGTTTTACATCAAATAGATAACGTAGCGTTGTTCAAATTTCTTTTTGATTTTGTTGTATAGCAGTAGTGGCAGATCTTAAAGCATGGACAAATTTAAGGGAACTTGCAACCAAAATCGATACGAAGTAGTAATCTACTCACTTGGTACACCAAAAAAAATAAACAAATAAAAATAAAGGAAGAATAGGAGGATTGTGTTTATTTTCGAAAAAAGAAAAAAAAAATTGAAAACCCAAACCTAAAATTTTGATTCAAAATAAGAAATTTAGATCACGTGATGTAGCAATTGCTTTAACTACATTTTTCTTGTATAAACCCGGAAAGCTTATTGTTTAATAGAATTGAAATTTAAATACTTAAAATTTTATGAACTGAATTTTAAGTACTAATCATAAATTAAATTTTCGTTTGTAACTTTTTGAAATTTAAATGTTCTAATTGTCAATTAAACCTAATTTTTAAGTAGTATTCACAATCTTGTTACTGAAAGCACTTCATTGGCACATTTTTTATTTTTTAAAATTAAATGTTCAATTGAGTTGCCGTTAAAAAAATAATAATAAAAATCGCATCACACTGACCCAAACACAACCTTAATGCTTAGCTTGAGAAGCTCCCCAAACACCACCATGGTTTTATATGAAAGAAGATGCAATGGAACCCAAATCCACTACTTTTGTTATTCAAGTTTGGGCCATTTCAAATTGATCCCCACGTCTCAAGTCCAAACAAATTCCGATAATGTGTAAGTTGGGTTGCAATGGGTTTTGTTCCATATCAAACCCAAACTAAAACTAAACCAAAAGTTTTTGCTTAAAATTCTTGCGGGCAATGGGGATGATTATTTTCTTGCAATAATTAAATAAAGTACGAAATTATGGAGTGCTTTTGGAGTTTAGAAATTATGATCATGTTCAAGATTCTCTTTATTATGATTCAATGTGGAATAAGATAAGGTCAAGTCCAAAAAATACCCTTATAGTATGCTTACAGTGCACATTGCACCCTTCCCATACAAAAAACACCCCTAAACTATTACATTTCTGCAAAAAGGTCATATTTATAAAAACTAAACTAAAATATCCTTCGTAACACATTTTATATATATATATATATATATATAAGTGCTTTTGGAGTTTAGAAATTATGATCATGTTCAAGATTCTCTTTATTATGATTCAATGTGGAATAAGATAAGGTCAAGTCCAAAAAATATCTTTATAGTATGCTTACAGTGCACATTGCACCTTTCCCATACAAAAAACACCCATAAACTATTACATTTCTGCAAAAAGGTCATATTTATAAAAACTAAACTAAAATATCCTTCGTAACACATTTTATATATATATATATATATATATATAATATTTTGTGAAATGACTAAAAAGGGCTTGGCCTTTCTTCTTCTTCATCTTCTCCCTCTTCATTCTCTCTCTACCTCTTCTCCTTCACCCACCGCCGCACCGACTTCTGCCACACCATCTTCACAAACTTCTCTTACCTTACCTTCTGCCTCCACTTCGACACCAACCTAGTCCACAGCCCTTGAAAGTGAAATCAACCAATCTAATCGATACTTCGTCAAATGATCAGCTAGATCGGATCCGTGTCTGTATTGGCACTGGGCGCATTCCTTGACTCGTCTTTCAAATAAAAATCAATGAAAAGTTCACCACTTTGTTTACTTGGAAGTCGCTGTATCAGAGTGTGAACCAGTGGTGCCTGGGAAAGAAACTGAAATTCTCCGATTATAAACAAGACTAAATTAATCCCATACGTTCGCCCAAATCAAAGCTCGTCGTCCAGTAGATGGTACTCCTCGCAATCTCTCTCACATATATATATACATACAAACACTCCATTTACATATATACCCAATATATGTGTAATATTGGGTATATGTCCTGTCGACAATTCTGTGTGCAAATATGTGTATGTGTATATGTGTGTATAATCATATATGTATATGTATCAGAGAGAGTTGGTGGTGGTAAGCGACGGGGGCCGAACCAGTCCTCTCCAAAGCCCATTACCGGAATCGCTGTTTGTTGCCATCGTCACCACCTGTCGAGATTCCCCCTTGTTCGCCGGCCGCTGTTCCAAGCTTACTGCCCTCGCGAACCGCTATTAGTTCCGTGTGAGCTTCTCCTTTCTCGCCGGCTGATTTCATCCTCGCTGGTCTGTCACCATCTTGCTCGCCGATCAAACCCTTTTAAGCCATCGTTGGTCAGCCGAGCTCGTCGCGGCCGCCGTCTTCATCCTCGCCAGTGTGGTTGTTTGGGTTTTGGTGATGGTGATGGTGAGGCAAGCGAACGGCGGCGACAAACTATAGTAATGTGGGGTTTGCGAATGGGTCTTGCAACTTTTGGTGGTTGGCTCTGTCGACCAGTATATTGGTTTGATTGTTGTTGTTCACCGTGAAACGTCTTTCTTCTTCTTCCCCGACCACAAGCTCCAAAACGCCATCAACCTTGTGAACACATACCTCTCCGGCAGCCTCTTCCCGACCGTCCGCAATCTCCACCTCTCCCTCTACTGTGATCAACAAGATTGGTTTGGTAGGGGTATTTTTGGAAGAGTAAAAGGATAAAATGGGCATTATGTTAATTGAGTGGTGTTTTCGCACAAATTAAAAGGAATAGAGTATTTTTTGCACACCTTTTAAAATAGGGAATAAAAGTACTATCAAATGTATACTTCAGATATTTCTTATACTTACCCCAATAAGTTACTCTCCTTCCACTTAACTTGTAACTCTTGATACATTTGGATTGTTCTGTAGCCTATACGAAAAAATTAGTATCGACCTAGACTTGAACACTAAATTAAAATCAATTCCCTGTACGGGAGTTGAGTGTGGTATATACCAGCCGTAACAAGCCTAATGTTTGTCAAATGACCCAAAAACTTAAATTCCCTGATAGAATTGCATATCTATTCTATCCTACCCATTTAAATTCAATGTAAGATAGCAACTCTCAAATTCAATGTAAGATAACAACCCTCTAACACTGATCCCAGGTATAAATTTCTTTAATTTGAATGCTTGTGACAAAATTTCGCAGCAATAGTTAGTGGAATTTGAATATACTACATTTCATAGCAATAGTAGTGGAACTAAAATATACAATTTTTTTTTGGTGAGTGGAACTAAAATATACCTCGGTTCAAATATACAAATTTTTTTGGTGAGTGGAACTAAAATATACATGCTAATTAATGTTCCTTGGTTCTATACAGTATAATTCACCTCAGAGGACCAGCAGTGGTCATGAAATTTGAATTATATAATCACTATATCTTACATGATACATCGAGTTTGTCATTTGTTTATGTTGTTAGAAAGTATAAATTAGAATGATTACATAAACTCTACCAACTTAAAATTTTATAATTGGTTGTTAAGACCTATAGAGCACGAACATATAAATCAGGAGACGAGAACACCTAAAGTCGTATGGTGGGATGCATTCTTATCTTCAGTTTGGAAGTGTTAGATTACAAAAGATAATAATTTCATTATTGGATACAAATATATACTAGTATAAGTTTTATTTGTACTCTAATTAAATTTGGGCCTCTGATTTTATTAGTTAGACCTAATGTAAATGAATTTGGTTTCTAATATGCTTTAAAAATTGATTAAAAATTAAAATTTATATATATAATAAAATATATTATTTTATTTCCGTACCCATCTCGTGTTCATGTTCTAATTTTTTAAAATTTATCGTATCATCGTGTCCGTGACGTATTATACCTGTATCGGTGTCCGTGCTTCTAGGTAAAAATAGAGGTACAACATACATAAATTAATATATTTGCACCTTCTTTTAACACCTTTAAACTTTTGTAACATTCAGTTGTTAACATGGCATATACTAATGTTTAAAACCATAGGCTTTGATTTTTCCCTTTTGCATTTGGAATAAATTGAAATTAAGCTTAATAAAAGGCAAAACTATTTCTACTAAAAACCTTAATATATTTTTTGCTCTGACAAGAAACGCATGCGTTTGCCTTTGAAAACTTGAACTCTCAACCTTTTATTCGACAAGTGTTACTAGACTACAGCTCCTTGTGACTTCAATAATAGATTTGAACTGGGATTTTTGCAAGCCAAACACGCCCTTAACAGTAGTTTGGCCCCAAAAAAACAATAAAGCAGGTGGGCCTACCACAAAATTTGGGCCACAATTTGGCGAGTCCATTGGAGCACTGGGCTCACCCAAATTGGCCCAAATTCGTCAATTTAGGGCAGCGGTAATGCATTTTATAGAGAGAGATGAGAGTTGTGGGTTCGAATAGGGTTTAACAGCGGCGATTTCTTTTTGCATTCCGAGAGTTTTAGAAATGGATTTGGATGTTAGAGTTGGAAAGGATGACCTTCAGGTACTTCCTTGATCCTTTTTTTTAATATTTACTTTTTTGATTATGTGTAGATATTTTTCATACCGGTAGAATGATGAATTGGATTAGGGTTTTCTCATGGAATTGTTCTTTAATATTAGTCTCTGGTCGTACTGTCTGTGTTTGCTTCGATTTTCAAGCTTGATACTATAATTGGCTTTTTATTTATTTAATTATTTTGGATTGCTTGTGCTCGATTAATTTGGGGCTCTATCTCAATCTATCTCAAGTTTAATTTGAAATATAATTATGTGTCCGTCTATTATTTAATGTTTCTGATGTTGATTCTGTTTCTTTCTTCTTCTTTTTCCCCTTTGTTTTGAAATTCTTGAATTGGTTAGCACGCATTTTCTTTTCTTTCTAATGCAAATTCTTGCTTAGTTTCTTGTTTGTTTTCTATGTGGTGTTTAGTTTATGTCTTTTTTGCTGCCTTAAACTCGTTATTTTGTATAATATAAATAATATAATAGGTCTTTTTTGTATTATATGTTTGATGTTGTTAACTCTGATTAAGGCTTCAAGAAGCCGATTCATGAATTTATTCTGTTGGATATTGGTAGAAGAATAATTTGATTTAAAAGACGTGAATAGTGGCGTACTTTTCACTTTACCAATCTGCCAATTCTTTGATAGTCACTGCCAATATTGTATCAGTCGCTGATCCCAATTTTGATGTTAATTTTGTTTTTCATGCTACTTGAAAATAATTCTATATTTCTATATGGATATATGTAGATATATTCCGTGTTGAGATGAATTTGATTAGGGTTTAATCCTTTGGTGTTTGTAATGTTTAATTATGTTCTAGGTTTTCTTATGGATTTTGTTCCTTAATATTAGTGTCTGATTTCTTGAGAAGCTTTAAATATTGGTTTTGCTTGGATTTTCAAGCTTGATGCTTAAATTGACTTTCTGTTTTACTTTTTTTTTTTTGAATTGGTTTGTGCTTGTTTAATTTGGGGGCTCTATTTCAAGTTTAATTTGTAATATAATTCCGTGTCAGTCGATAATTTAATGTTATTGCTCTGTTTTCATGCCATATTTTGTGTACTCTGATTAAGGCTTCAAGAAGCTCTCCTATTATGTTATTTTTCCCTTTGAAATGGGCATTTCATTCAGTATGAGTGCGTGCTTTTAATCAATGCTCACTGCTTTTCCCTTTTCTTTTTTCTTTTTCGTTTTTTTTTTTTTTGATAATGCTTACAATGATGATTTGAATTGCATTCCAAAAATAATATACCATATTTGATTCAAGCAAATTTCGTTTTTTCTCAATTATGTAAACGGAATGTCTATTATATTCCCTGGTTGGCATTAGTTTTCTTTTCATAGATTCAATTGCTTGGAATCATCATAGTGCACTACATGTGAATAAGTGGCTTTACATTTATGGAGAGGCTTGTGATGTCGGTGATAATCATTATCTTAAGCATCAAATTAGAGCAATCAGTGAAGTATTGGATGCTTTGATAATGTATCTTAATTTGATAACAACAATTATAGTTAAAAGAAGAATTTATAACATCTAGGCCTATTGTCAAACTTCTATGATGGAAGTTTATGTTCAACACAAGAAAGTTATGTTATATGCATAAGGAGCACATTATGGGTTTTCTCTCATTTATGGTCGCTTTTTGTGTTTTATAAGAAATAGCTAGTTCTACTTAGTCGTTTCACAGTGAGTTCAACATCTTTAAGGGCGCTAGTGTGTCTCCTTGAAGAGTTACTTTGTGTTGTCATGAATCATACCTTCTCTAGTATGAGAATAATCATGGTGCGGTGGAGAAAAAACCATTGAATCCTTTTGAAATATTACTGCGGCACTTCTACCTGACTTAACCTGATTACAGAACATGGGTTTCTTTTACTGGGGAGTGATCAGAATATAGGTTAGTTCCCACTTTCATATTCAACATTACAGAGTGAAAGAGTATAAGCGACCAAGCAAGAGTCGTAATATGGAGACAAGGTCCGTTACACAAGTTTTCATGTCTTGAGATTTGGCTGATTTGTGGCATAGTAGAATTTCAATTAGGATAAGGGGAGATCTTTCATGCCATAACTTTGCCTCATTCGCATTTTCTTTTTCTTTTTCTTTTTTTTTAGAATTTTTTGGTTAACTTGTATCAATATTAAAAAAATTCCTGTCCCTTTGTTTTCATGTACTGGCCAAGAAAAGAAAGGCAACAGCCTTAAAGGAAGAGGGAGTAACAGTTGCAATAGACTATGGCACAACTTGCTGCTCTCATAGTTAACAGAGTGAAAATCATTGCAAAACTTCCTTGCTATGTTTCATTTTTTAAAGACTCCGAGCCATTAATTGGTCATTCCGCCAAGGAAGAGCTTCCTAGGAATCCTGAAAACACCGTTTACGGTTAGGTGCTAGATCTATATATATATGTATATATGTATATATATATGTATGTATACATGTATGTATGTATGTATACATGTATGTATGTATTGCTTGTAAATCATCTTTTTTCCATTTTGAACTAGCATGTTCAAGTTTTTGTTTTTCTTAAGATCGATACATTTTCAAAATGTTTTCTTTTCATTTTCTTATCATTGATACACGAGGGGTTTCTAGGATGTTAAGGTGGAGCAAAACAAAGGCAACGTTGTCCTGTCAAAAAAGAGCAAATATATAGTAATATTATAGTGTAAAAATTAAGTACACTGCCATCAGTAGGGAGTTAAAGCAGGTCCACTAGCTAGGAGTCTCGTATGGAGCAGAGAGTTACTGAAAAGGTCCATTACCATCAGTATTTAGAACATATTTTTAATTTCATTCTATCTGGCTCTTTGTTGATGGTGTCACGTTTTTGTAGGTACGGAAAGGTTTTTTGGCTTAACATTGAGTGCTATTCGGTCAAAGTGGATTGTGCGCTTTACTTTCAAGATGACTCAAGCTCCCACTGAGGACATGCCAATGATAGCGGTGAGAAACGAAGAAGTGGAAAAGCAATTCACTCCTGAAGAAATATCTTCATTCATTATTGAGGGTCTCAAGAAGATGGCCGAGGAGACCCTTGGGTGCAGCACCGTGGATGCTATTTGTACTGTCCCCAACCACTTCAAGAAGCCCGAGGTGGAACGTATGATGGATGCAATGGCACTTGCAGATCTGAAAGTTCTTAAGGCCTACCCTGAAGCTGTTGCAGTTTCCTATGCTTGTGGATTTGAGGAGTCGTCCCGAAGCCTGTCACGAAAAATGTGCTGATCTTTGATGTTGGTGGGACGACATCAAAGGTGATTTTGCTCACAGTGGGGAAGAATAAGATGGTGGACTACAAAAATACTGTTGTACAGGATATGGGTGGTGAAAGCTTCGACAAAATTATGGTGTTCTACCTTTAGGATGAGTTCAAGAAGAGGCATGGTGCTGTCCACGTGGAATGGAATGCGTTCAGGCGACTACTACTCCCATGTGAGATTTTGCTGTGGCCCTCGTTGAGGTGGAATCCTTTGTAGATGGAATCGATTTAAGCTCTTCCATCACACGAACCAAATTGAAGAGTTTAAGCGGAATAATTTTCAGTGTTTGGTTGACATGGTCGACACATATTTGAAGAGCCTTAAAATGGACAAAAGAATTGTGCATGAAGTTGTTCTTCAATGCTCAAATATTCCAAAAATTCAAGAGTTGTTGCAGGCTTACTTCGAGGGGAAGGAGTTGTCTGATTAAACCTGAAGAGGTTGTAGCTAATGGTGTGGTAATGATAGATTCTAATAAGAAGGGGAAAGATGTTGGACAAGGGGAAAGATGTTGGACATCAACCGACCCAGTTACAATGGGTCGGTTTTCAGCTTTGGAGAACCAGGTGAGAGCACTCCAAGATACTGTAAGTTGGATGAAAGAGAGACCGAACAAAGACGGGAAGTCTTCACTCGCTGGAAATGATGTTCACCGCTATGGGATTGGGAGGGCAATTTTGGGATTTTTAAAAACATTTTGGTAAAAATTGACTATTTTGCACCAAAAAAATAGTAGGGAGGTATTTTTTGCACCTTTTGTATATATATATAGTAGGGGTGTTTTTTGCGCTTTTTCCTTTTTATTTTTTAAATTTTTTATTTATTTTATTTGTATAATTTTTTATAGAAAATTTAATTTTAATTATTTTTTAGAAATTATTTTCTTTTTGTTATTAAGTTTCTTTATTTATTTTCTTTTTGCTATTAGGTTTGTTTATTTTTTAGTTTACTTCTATATTAGGTTTTTTATTCTCTACTTGTAAATTTTTATTGAATTTTAAAAGATTGTACACTTGGCTTTTGTCACGTGTGATGAATGCTTGTGCACCTGTTATTTTACGATTATGAGATTGATGAATGCTTGTGCGGTACTCCATTCTTTTTGTTGTTGATAAAAGTCGACATTGATGAAGCTAAGCTAAGGAAAATCCGTAATCCTTACTTTCCTACAATTACCTGATTTTCATTAGATACTTTGCCTATCATAAGATTAGGGCGGCAACTGGGGGCAGGCTAACCCAGTCCAATACAAATCCAACAAGAAATTGAAATTGAGACTTATATTCACAAATTGGGTTCATGTTCGGGTTGAATTTTGTCAAAATTCGGACATATTCAGATTGGATTACCAGAAATTGAAATTGGAGCTTATATTCACAAATCGGATTCATGGTTCATGTTCGGGTTGATTTTGTCAAAACTCGGACATATTCGGGTTGAACTCGGGCTCAACCCGAACCCAACCCCAAAAAAAAAGAAAAAAAAAATTTCTCTCTTCTTTCTCTTTCTCTCCCCGCCCTTACATACAATTTAGCAGTTGCACAGAGGGAGGGGGGCAAGCTTGAGAGTTGAGAGACAGCGGCTAAAGCTTGCGATGGGAAGAGAGAGAGAGATCTGGGTTTTGATTTTTTGAACAATCTTGGAGAGCTTGCGATGGAAAGAGAGAGAGAGATCTGAAGCTTGCGATGGAAAGAGAGAGCGACAGCGGCTGAAGCTTGCAATGGAAAGAGAGAGAGAGACAACGGCTGAAGCTTGCGAACCCGAACTGGAACAGCGGGCGACGGAAACTGAAAGATCTGTGTTTTGATTTTTTGAACAATCTGAAATGATATGCTGATCTGGGTTTTGATTTTTTGAACAATCTGAAATGATATGCCGATATGGGTTTTGAACTTCTGATTCTTGCAGACAGAATAGATAAAACTGAAATTTATGGGTTTTGAACTTCTGATTCTTGTAGATTTTGTAGTTTGCAGTTGGAGAGAGAGAGAGAAGGGGGTAGTTCAGAGAAAATAAAGATGGAGGCGATGGGGAAGGTTGAAATGATTTGCCCTAAAAATATTTTGTTTTTTTTATAATAATATAATCAAATATTATATATATATATATATATATATTATATTAAGTTATTGTACGCTTCCCCATGGACATGGTAAACAAGCTCGGAGCAGTAGGTCATTTCAGGACAAGTGAGGTGCAGATGATGCATTACACTAGAATACTCATCTAACTATTTTAATATTTACATACAATTCATACAAAACTCTCTTTTAAGAAACCTATATATTAGAAATTCAGGCCTTTTAAGAAACTTATATATTAGAAATTCAAGTTTATATTATAGTTTAGTTTAGTAGAAGTTAAATTACATAATCATTCAATTTTTTTTATATATTAGTCTCCACAAAATCTATATTTATATTATTTCTTATCCATATATCAATTATGGCCATTGACGGCAACTTCCATCTTGAATCTTATACAATTTGAATTTCATAAATATGAGTGCTGAAGTTCTATGTTTTTTTTTTTTTTCCTTTAATAAGCAAGAATTCATATTATATAGAATCAAAACAAAACATACTGAAGATAGGGATACAATTAGTAAATTCAGTACTAAAAGTGCTTTAAGCAATCTTATTACCAAACATTAAATGCTTTAAATATAAATTTCTGGTAGTAAGTCAAATTCTAGTTTATTGTAGTAGCTCGAATTCTAGGATTTTGAAATTATAGAGAGTTTTTGCTACAATTCAGAAATGGATTCCGGGGACGGAAGCACCGGAAACCTTTTTTTCTAGTCTTATTCTCATTTCATATAATCATTTCTACATTTTTGGATAACATATCAAGTATTTTTTTTCTAGTCTTATTCTCATTTCATATAATCATTTCTACATTTTCGGATAACATATCAAGTATTTGCGCTCGTTTAATCTGCGGTTCATCTCAGTTTTAATTTGAAAAGTCACTCAATGATTTAAGGTTGCTGCTCTGTTTTTATAGGCACTTGTTTAGTGTCTTGACATTTTTTGAATTGGTTTGTGCTCACTTTAACTAAAAGTTCACTCATTATATAAGGGTGATCCTCCTTAATGGAGGAATATGAAGCATTATAATCAACGACCATAAATTACGCACTAGAATAGTCTTTTTATTCTCTCTTGTGTTGTAGAATCCTCCACCCCTCTCGTTAAGACTCGACAATAATGACACCGAAATCACTCCCACCATCTGGAACAATCTAATCTAAATGAGGGGAAAAAAGTAGCAGCTAAAACAGAGCAATTATTACTATGTATTGCTGAAATCCATCAATAAAATAATTTGCATTATTACTCCTCCCACGTTTAGAATTAAAAGGTAGTAAAAGATTAAAATAAAAAAAAATAGAAATAGTGTATAATTAATATATATATATATATATATATTGTTAACACCTAAAATTAATTCAAAGCAATCATGCCACGTGGTCAGAAATCATGAGGTCTGAACTTTGGGTCAACCCATGGTCATCAGGACGAAAGATTAATTTCTAATCATGGTGATCCGATTTAAGGCTGAGAATGAAGAAGAGTGGAATTTTTAGGCCATTAAGACTGATATGAGGTTTTGAGCTCATAACAGGCTATGATTGAGAGTCTCAGTCACTATGGTTATGACTCTTAGTTACTATGATCATGATCATGAGTCTTAGGCCAAACCTTCTCAGTCATTATGGTCATGAGAGTCTCAGTCTCATGATCATGAGTCTTAGGCCAAACCTTCTCAGTCACTATGGTTATGAGAGTCTCAGTCATCTTGATCATGAGAGTCTCAGTCATCATAATCATGAGTCTTAGGCCAAAGCCTTCTCAGTCATCTTGGTCATGAGAGTCTCAGTCTCATGGTCATAAGTCTTAGGCCAAAATACTCTCAGTCACAACTTTCTCAATCACAACGGTCATGGTCAGGAGACCCTCAGTTATAATGGTCACAATCCAAAGTCTCTCCAAAGACTCATAACCAGCCATGATCAAGAGTCTCGATCGTTATTTCTCTCGGTCACAATGATCATAAGACTCTCGGTCATAATGGTCATGATCATGAATCTTAACCAAGATTTCTAGTCACTATGGCCATGATCAAGACTTATGACCAAATATGGTCATGATCAGGGGTCTCGGGTCATTATCACTTGAGGAATCTTTGGGGTAATTCAAATGAACACCGGTTGTGAATCCCAATGTTTCAAGAACCCAACAAGTCAGGTCTAGAAGTTTGAAGAAAGCTTGAAATAGAAAAGGACAACCTGACAATGTCAGAAGTTCAGAACTACAGATGGAAGGTTCTCACCAACATCTGATGAGGGAAGTCAGGATTGTCAGTAATCAGATGACTCCAGGCTAATGTACAAATCAAGCCAGACATGACAGGTGCAGAGAGCTGAAAATGGCTTGAAGACCAAAATCATCAAGCATGAAAGAATAGGCACCATTTAGTCAAAAATACTATGTCAGACATACTTGTATCTGCCTATAGAGGGATGTGCAAGTTAGTCAACCTTACCAGCTCAGCAAAGTGGTTAGGAAAAGTCACTTTCGGCTTACAACCAATCAATTTCTAGAGAAACGGTTGAAAGGGACAACACCAGGTGGAAGCCTCTATAAATACCCACTCAAACCTCACAAGGAAGGGGTCCAAGACCATTTCTAAAGTTCAACCTTTAGCATTCCTATCATTTAGCACTTAGCTTTTATTTCATCAAGCTCAGTTTAGCACTTAGCTTTTATTTCAGCAAGTTTAGCTTAACACTATCAGTTTAGTACTTAGTTCATCTTCCAGCATTTAATACTTTAGTTTCCATTTCGATCAAGAGTTTGTAATTCATTCATCATTGTAATCAGTCAAGTTCAATGAAGAAAGGTTTGCAGATTCAGGTATATTTATTGTCCAGTTAAGTTGCTTCTAATTCATGTTTATCTTGAGTGTTTAAAGTCCTTTCTTAAAGGCAATAGCAACCTTAAGGAGAGGGTCATTCCTACTCTCCAACTTTCGCCTGAATCACCTTAGGTCGGTGACCCGACCCGATAGGAATAGTTTGGCAAGAAATATTCGAGTCCATCAGGACTCTTGCACGCCCGCGTTCTAGGTCAGCCGTTCATTGGTTAACGACCTCAGACCACTTTGTGAGCCAAACAACTTTGGCACGCCCGGTGGGACTTGTGCTTTATTTGTGAATGGTCGTCGAGACTAGGTCACAGACTCAGACTTCAGCTGGACAAGCTAACCCTCAAAGGGAAGATCAGGAAGAAAATCAGCCTGCTCCCATCATGCAAGATTCCGGGTCTAAGCATGAAGAGGGACATCAGGCCAGCCACCAAATGGCGGCCGAAAGTGTCAGCAATATGGTGACACGATTTGAAAGTAGAGTGGAGGCTTCCCAACGCCAAGTCGCTTGGGAAATCAACAAAAATATGGAGCCATTGGTGGCTTCATCCCACATGACTAATACTCAGCTCCAACAGCTGAATGAGGTGATTAATGCCTTAGTGACTCGTATTGATAGGCAGGTTATTGCTCAGCCGCCTAGGTTAGAAAACCAGAATGATAGACTCGTGGACCAGTTTCTTCCTCAACAAGTTGGTCAACCAGAAAGAGGTGCCCAGCCACATCCCAAGGTTAGTGGTCCTCGACCAGTAGCTCCAATTCCACCACAAGTCCATCCAATAGAGCAAGGAGTGAATGGTCACCAACAACCAAGATGGAGGAATCATGACCAACCTAATGGTCGACCTCCTCATTTTCAACCTCAAGTCTTGCCACCTCAGGCTGCGAACCCAGGGGGGCAAGAGGGACATAACCCTTGGCCCAATGTCCCTTTTCAGAACCAAGTCCCACCTATGGTCATGACTAGGGAGCAATTGGCTGAGGTCAAACAAGAACAGTATGGACCAGCTTTAAAAAGGGCTACTCGACCTACTTTCAGGCACCCATTTCCTGATTGGATAGATCGGATAGATCTTCCCCAAAATTTTCGGGTGCCGAACTTTGCAACCTTCTCAGGAGAAGGCAACCAATCGACTCTTGAGCATATTGGCCGTTTCACATT